AATATTTGACCAACAAACATCCAAGAATTAGCTATTGAATAAGCAAATGTGCCTATACATACATATTTAAAAAGATAGCTAAAACTTCTTGAGGTTCCTACGTTATGAATACATATTTAGGACAGTAGTCAATTCTAGCTATTGTCATGTAAATAGAATTAGTCACTACAGGATCTGTATCCAGTTGTCAAAAACAAAACAAAAAACAAAAACAAAGCAAAACAAAACACCCCATCCTCCTTCCCCGAGCAGGCACTGAAAGGTCACATCTCCCCAGCTCTACCACCTTGTTTACACTTTTATCTACTTTCCACTCTTGCTTACATTCATCACTGGTAATAACCTAGTTTTTAAGAAGTCTGAATTTAGGCCATGTTCTGTAAGGGATATTTATTTTTAGTTGTAGATGAGGTTAAGAAAATTTAGGACTTTTAACAGTTAGGATTTAAAAACACAACTTTAAGTGAGAATGTTGCCTAGTAAATATCTGGAAATCGGCATAAGGAAACAGTCTCAACCCTGGTTCATGACGGCGGACAAGTTACTTAAATAGAAGGTGTAGGGTTGGGGATTTAGCTCAGTGGTTCTGCTGCCTGCCTTGCAAGCGCAAGGACCCGAGTTCGATCCCCAGTACCAAAAAAAAAAAAAGGTGTGAAAGCAAGGTGTTTTTATTTTTTGACCTCCTTCTCCCACCTATCATCCCATTTCCAAAATTTTACATAGAAGATCTCTGAAGGGGAGTGGAGGACACAAACATGTTTGCTCCATGGTCTCTTGTTTCTTTTCCCCTTGGGTTAGTTTGGGGTTTCATTGTTTGCTTTTCCCTTAAAACTTAGGCCCAAGCAACAAACTTCTCAGGTCTGATAGAATCCATTTTCAATACAAGGATAAAAAGAAAGAAAATCATTGGAGAAAACACAAAGGACACATAAGTAGTCAAATGCTCAGTTAACCCTTGGTGAGTGGGCTGGGATCCCTTGGGGACTCTTCTTCGGTGTTAAGCAGGACCCATCATATCCTCCACCCGGGACCTTTCACTAACATCTTTCCCCTCCCACCCAAACTTCCAGATTCAAGGTTTCCAGACTTACTTGGGTGCTCCTGTGCGTAGACAGGAACCCTGACCATCCCTAGGGAACAGGCAGAGCTATGGTCATGTGTATAAGGTAGGCTTCATTTTTCAGGGGAGGTAGCTCCATTTCTCTGGCAAGGAGCCTTCTTGACTGTGGATCCATTGTCAATACCAACCACAATGCTTCCTGGATCAAATCACACACACCAGGTAAAAAGATCATTCTTTCACACCCTTAGGAGCTATTGTTTTTAAAAAATTAACATTTATTTGTACTTTGAAGAATGGCAGACAGCAGCTTTAAAAGGAGGATGTCACACAGATGGAGAAGGTGGTCTTACAAGCTTCATTTACAGGAGGAGAGACGGTCAAGAGAACACCAAGATAGGTCAGCTTCAAGTCTCCCAGGAGAGAATCCCATCGTATCTAGCACCAGCCACATCATTCCTCTGCCCAGGGCTGTCCTTTCAGAAAAGATCACACAGGCAGAGAAGAGACTAAGTTCACAACCTCAACCCAGGACCTTTTCCCTATTTTAGATACTCTTGCTTTGAGATTCGAAGGTTAGACGTCTTTTCTTGGTTATAGGGCACTCTAAATATACTAGCCCTACAGTCATGTTTGGGAGAAAAATTTACCTTCTCTTTACATGCTTGCATGATGTGCAACAACTGTAGTACAACAGTCTGTCGCAAGTGTATTGGATATTTCAGTTTGCCAGACCTGTCATGATAAATTAATTACAGGATGTTGCAGAAATGGCAAAGCTCCAGCAGCATCTTGCATAGTTTAATATAGACCCATTTCCCCATTTCAATGTATTTGTGGTTAGATAAATCCTCAGAAATTTACAGCTGCTATAGACTAGTTTATTATGTAGTCTGCCTGCACACATGCTAAGTATAATAAGAATTTGATGTTCTTAAAGTGCATAGATTTTACTGATATTTCTTTACCTTGGACATATTTAGGTGCTAACAGCAGCTTCTGCAGAAACTTGTGAACATTTAACTTCTGCATAACAGGCAGTGCAGGTTAAAAGCATTACTATGTTTAACAATCTTTCACTTACTTTAAATCGAAGAATTGTAGGTCAGAAAAGTCATGTGCAATGTTTATATGGAATAGCACCAACAAAAAATTTAACAGAAAAAAATTAACTGATTTTCAGCAGAAAACACTGAAAAGCTGAACTGAATCTACCAAGCTTTTCTCCAGGGAACCTTCCTCCTTTCGTCTCTTGATTGATTTTTGCAAGCTTCAGTTGCTTCTTTTTGCTGCAGCAACAAGTTCTTGCTTTCCCTCCCTTTTATACTGTTATTTTTTCATTAAGCAAATCATCTCCATCCCAAGAAATTTAGGGATTTGTCCTTGGATTGGCAATAAGAATTTACCTATTTAAATGTGTGCAAGTAGGTCATTCTTCAATTTTCTGCTATTCTTCCATTATTCTTGACAAGGCTCAAGTAAGGAGTTAGGAAGAAATGTACTATAGGCTAACTTCAGATTGCTTAGTACTTTTAGCAATGACACAGAAATACGCAGACTATTTTGACTTAAGTGAAAGATGTGGAACATAACTTAGGTATGGTGTATATCTATGATTTCCTTTGTTTTTTAGATTGGAGAAATAAATATTGTAGATTCTTAGCAGCAGTAGCCTCCCCAACCCTTTTGAGACAAAATCCATCCATAATCAATATGAAGTTGAGGTGTTAGAAGACAGGGTGCTTAGAACATATGCTTGATGTAGATTTGAAGGGAATTGTTAGAAAAATAGCATTCTTCGTGTTTACAAAACAAGTGTTTTTACGTTATGCACTTCTTGCCTTAGCTTAAAGTATTTTCTATTCATCTTAATAATTAGAGCAGAAGGATATGATGAATGAAGTGCCTCATTACCAAGTTTGCTTCCTGGGCCTCTGCAGAGAGTAGCTGTCTGCTTATGCTTAGTTAGCCCATTGTTAACCTTAAATGATGCTGACATTCAATTCTCCTGAAGATAATTGAGTCCATCCATAGACTGAGTTTTCCAGCCTGTTGATTGATATGCTTCTTGATGTTTTTATTATCTTTTAAATGACTAGAATTGCGCCTTTTTCTGTTTCTTGAATAAAATGTTACTGTACATGTAATTAGTTTGATTCTACAGAACCTATTTCTTACGGAGACATAAGAGCTATAGGACGGAGGAGAGTTATTAAAATAATTGTGGGCTAAAGTTTTAAAACCAATATATATATATATATATATATATATATATATATTTTTTTTTTTTTTAGGTCACTGTTGTATTACAAACGTATTAGATGTTTCCAGTCCCTCAGTGGACTGCCTTTTTACTCTTGAATGTGTACTGGTCTCAACTATAAGCCATTTACTGGCTTAACTCTCCACACAGCAACCTAGATCTAGTACTTTAGAAATCTCCAATGGAGTCTGACAAACCGCCATATACAGGCACTGTGCACTTGACAAGCTACTCAACCTCCAGAGGCTGGGTTACTTTGCAGAGTAGGGAAGATTTTATCCACCTCATGGAATTGATGTAGAGAGTAAATGAGATTATGTGCAATAATAAAGTGAAGATTTGGGATTCAATTAAGTAAAACTGACAAATATGTATAGTAAGTCCCCAACTTTGTTCCAGGACAATTGTTCATCAATTGGATTCGTTCAAAAGCCAACAAAGTACATCTTAGACACAGTATACCTGTGAAAGTTTGAAAGTCAAATGTTCATAAATCGGGGATTTACTGTAATTTAAAATTTTGGATTATTTAAAAATATTCTCATAATTTAATTAACAGATATAGCCCTCATATAAAAGTATAAAGTCACCAATTGTTAGTTTCTAGAACTTTAACTTCTTAAAAATGACTACAGTGACATGTCAAATAAAGCTATCAATTGGCAAGATATTTCCCAGATATAGTCTTGCTGAACTTCTTGAACAGAAAATGTCTTTTCTATAACTTACATAAAATTCAGGTGAAGTGTTTGCTTTTATGTGACAGAAACCTTGTACAAGATTTCAAAAACACTAACTGTTAGCTATTTAAAATCAATTCCATTTGAAATATGCATTTAAAAAATAAATTTGTATTTATGGCATAAAATATTCACATTTTAAATTTTTAAGAAACTTACCTTTTATTCTAGCTTGTGAATCTAATTTACAGGCTCTTTTTTGAGACACGGTCTCACTATGTAGTTCAGCTGGTCTCAAACCTGTGATCCCCTTGCCTCAGCCTCCTAAGTGCTGGGACTGCAGGCATGCACCAGGACATCTACCTCACCGCATAGTTCTGATATTGAAAAAGAACTTCATCTTCAAGATAGATGGATCAATAACTGGGGAATACAATTCTAGGGATAGTTAAAAAATATCATTTAGCTACAGAAGGTAATGTCAAATTATTACTTATTTAAAGAGATGACACAGTGTAAAATTCAATTTCAGCATAAAGATAAAACAAAGAAAAACCAATTTTGTTACAAAGAAAATCTACAGTGCCGCAAATCATCAAATTGATTTTGGGGTCTGACTTGCTGCTGGATTATAATCTGGACCGATTATTTGGAGGACACTGTTATGCTCTCTCCCTCCACATCTCATGTCAGAGGGTGTGGTGAAGACAATGGATCCAGTTTTGCAACTCCCAGCAAGATAAGAATCTGCGTAGAAGCCACCTTTCCTGGTGTTTGCTTTGTCTGTTTCTTTGTCTTCAGTAGTTGCAATATAAAAATAATTCTTTGCTTTGTTTTTCATATGAACATAAAGATCTCAGCAAATGCTTAGCTTCTCTGATATACTTTTTCATCTGTCTTGATTTAAAATATTTTTACAACCTGTTGAAATTCTTTGTGATTAATTAAACAGCAAATTCAAGGAATCAATTCACATGTTAAAATGATGAGCTGAAACTGCAGGGAAACATATACTGTGTCTTTATTCTTAAATTATCAAGTGCATTCACAAGACAAGAAAACTCGTCCAAGGGCAGTGCAAGCAGCCTGGGCCCAGCAGTGTTTGAGGCCCCGATGGAGCATCCAGGACTGGGACGCCTGGCACTGTCACAGCGGACTGTGCACAGAGGGCTGCGGGCACTCACACTTCTTTTTTTTTTTTTGGTACTGGGGATCGAACTCGGGACCTTGCACTTGTAAGGCAGGCAGGAGAATCACTGAGCTAAATCCCCGGCCCTACTCACACTTCTGAAAGGGCCTTGTTTGTGAATGTTCTCTGCAGTAGGGCAGTGTTTACCAATTTTGATGCTTCTGCAACATGTGCAGGGATATTATAGCCCAATATACTTTACTACACACATTGGGTATGCATCTGGACAAAATTTACACCTCAACGCCCAACTCTGTTTTTCTCACTTCTTATTTTAATGGAATCCATTGTTTAATATGGTAAATAAGTATTAAAAATTTATATTACTTTTGACCTTCTTGGTGCTAAATATTTTATTGGCAGATTTATCATATATTTGAGAAAGAATAATCAAGAAAAAACAAATGAGAATTTCACTATTACATCAAGCTTCAAAACATATAGTCATGTGATAATGACACTGTTATTCTGGATACAGAAATAATGTAATAACTTAAAATGAATTTGAAGAGTAAATATTAAACAATAAAGTTTACAAATTACTTATCTGTGTAAAGTGAACTGCCCTTTAAAAAAAGTAATATGGAACACTGTTGTCAGTTCCAACAAAATTCACTTTTAGTTTAGGTGGATCAAGTTACATATGTGACTCAGCACAAACACAAAGTGTTACGTTTTTGTTTCAGACAGGGTCCCACTATGTAGTTCAGGCTGGCCTTGATCACACCACGTAGCCCAGGCCAGCTTCTAACTTGTGGTGATTCTCCTGCCTCAGCCTCCTGAGTGCTGGGATTATAGGTGTGGATCATCATGTCCAGCTATAAAATTATGATTTAAAAAAGCAAATTATTTCCTTTATAATTTCTTTGTCATTGTGACTATTTTGAATACACAACATTCTGAAGCTGCTTATCTTCTAGATAAAGTCAGTTTCAAAAACAGTAACTTCATATTCTGAGTGTAACATCACACATACAACCATATTCTAGATGCAATATGAATGATTATCTAATGGACATTGTAACAATGCAAACGCTTTTTATTCACATTTGCTGAGAGGCATTTTTTAATGGTTTTCCAACAGTGGTAATGTAAATTTAAGGCAGTTACTAATAACACAAGTACCAATACTTTGACCAACAACAATTACAATGGTTTATAACAATTAAGTTCAAATGCAGTGATTTTTCTATTCATATACTGCTTCAGATTTTTCTAGATTTTTCATAGGGAGAAGTAGTGGATCCTTCTTTTCTTTCTTAGTATCTTAAAATTTTGAACTCTAAAGAGAAATTCCATTTGGTTTAATTTTCTATTTCATTTCTGTATTTGGTTGTGTCTTCATTCTTCTTCAACTCTTTACTAGGAAGAAAAGTACACAAAATGTATTAAATGAACTTGAACAATGTCTTCTGGCCACAACCAAATCTTAGTGTGCTCAGGCAACTGTACAAGAAAAGATACCATGCAAAACACACTTCACACACACACACACACACAAACATACATATACATACAACAAATAAAACCAAAATACTAATTACTTATCTTATAGTTTGTTTCTAAAACATACTGCTACCATCTCTTTGTGTCATTAGCAATTATTTAAGGCCTGGAGAGGTTAATATAAGCAAAAGAGAAATATACTCAAATGCAGACATGAAGAATTCCAAACTCTGAGTAACTTCCAGAAATTAAGAGTAGGCAATCAGATATGTAAAGTTTTTCTTCAATGAGAAAGAAATATGGATGATGGCATTTTTATTAAAGTCTTTCATTGAGTCTATGGCTGTGTTTATTTTTAGAACTGGGTTAATATATTTTTCAATGTGGTTTGTCAAATTTTCAGACTGACCAAGATAATGATGGCTAAGCATGCATCTAGAGGCAGGTTTGATACGGAGCAAATTATATTACGGTATAAAAATCAAGAACAAATATGCAGATAGAATAAGAAGTTGCTTCCTTAAAGCCCAAGAAATAGGTATACTACAACTAAAGTGCAGTAAACCAGTGGGGCTGGGCCTGGCAGCCTTGGAATGATGGCAAGCTGGTTAGTGATGGTCAACCCCACTCATCTATCCAGAGAAAAGCGATGCTGGCACAGGGGCAGGAAAGGGCACAGGCTAGGCTAACCATTCCCTAAGAGCTCACCCTGGGGGCACAGGAAGAAGAGCAAACATCTGTGCTTTTACCCTCAGGCCCATACTCATGTAAATGGTTACATTATGTTGTTGTACAAGAAAAACATACAAGGAGAAAAATAACCATTTGTCAGTCCAAATCTCCTGATTTTAAGTGTGTTAAATGGAGCTATACAGATAAAGCTTGTATCATATATAGAAGCCCCAAAGTAGGTTCAAGTGAAGCTAATGAAGGCAACTGAAGTTGAGTATAAAATGGTACATATATGGCACATCAAATATAACATCCCTAATGAGGGGAAAAGGTATGCTGGCCCCTAAACAACCAAATGAAAAGGATATAAAACTTGTGCCAAATAAGAGTTCAGTAAAAAACGAGAAAGAAGGTAGCAAAGGCTCAAATAAATGTACAGCAGAACTCACACAGAGAGCCTAAAAACTTACGTAAAGGACAGAGAGGAGGGCAAAAGGATCTTAAGGGAAGAGCAAGGTAAAGTGAGAGGAGTTCATGGTGCTGGGAGGACAAAAAAGAAGAAGAAAAACAGAAAAGGGAAGGGGAGGGGAGGGCAGATGAACAGCTGGAAGTTAGTGAGATGGATCCTGCAGGTGCAGAAGATGTAGGACAAGTCAAATTAATCAAGTGGAGACTGCACTGTGAGAAGTAAACAGAGAAGCCAGGGGGACCTCAGGAGATGGAACCCAAAGAGAGATTTAACTAGAAACAGCTGAAGTAGGCAGCAAAGATAACATCTTTAAGGGAAATGATTCACAGTTAGAAGAGGATGAAACACATTGGATAGAGACTGACAAAGACTGCCCATGAAGGGGAGAAAAGGGATGGGATAAAAGAAAAGGAAAAGAAATGGTCAAGTGTACACTTCTGACTCCTGAAAAGCAAGAGTAGCACTAGGCATGCTGGCAAGATATAGCACAGGAATTTGAAAGCTAAGAGACACCAGGATTTGCTAAAAGGAAGGGAGCAGGGTCATCTAACCCAGAGATAGGAAGAAACCCAAAGGCTGAGATGGAGCTCAGAGGTAAAGCACTTGCCTACATGTGTAAGGCCTTGGGTTCAATCCTCAGCACTGCAAAACAGAAAACAAAACAAAATAAGCAAAAATGAACAGATCAGGGTCCATCCCTTCTATGAGTAGCTTCTCATCAAGTATCCCCACAGCTAACTGAAGAGAGTAACAAGGCAAGAGTTTTTCAAAGGCATTTCAGATGGAAAAAGAAAGAACACCTGTGTAGCAAGATTCTGAAAATAAATATGAAACTAGGTGTTTGTGTGTATACTGTGTGTAAAAAAAATAAGATTCTTTTTTTTTTTGGTACCGGGGATTGAACTCAGGTCTTTGTGCTTGCACAGCAGGTGGGGAAACCACTGAGTTAAATCCCCGGCCCAAAAAATAAGATTCTTAAAAGGAGTGGGCCATATCTCACAAGCAGTTCAATCCCATAAATATTCCCTGAAGGTCTGCTGCTGTGACTGACCTAAGCCCTGCTCGGGAGGAAAAACCTGAGCACAGCCCCCGCCTGTGAGGAGTGCAGGCCCTTCCCACCTCATCAGCAGGGACAGACAAAGCAGTGTGCTTGGGCTGTAACCCAGGGCGAAGCTAGAGGACCACACAGTGGTAAGTTCAGGTACTCTGTGATTGTAACTCTGAGACCTTGGTCCCTCAAGTGCAGAAGGATATAAAATAGACTATGCTGGAAATTTCCTGCAATTACTTTCATTTAAATGAAAATGATCAAGTAGTGCATATATGCTGAGTATAAAAAATCAGAAAACAAAATAAAAAAATCAAAACCTCACCACTCAGATAACTACAGTCTTTTGATGTATACTGTTTAATATTTAATGTATATAACATATCAATTCTTTTTAACTTAAAAATCTTATATATCTTTCATGTCTATAAAATACTTCCATGATAACGACCATATGCTACTCTATTATACAAATGTTTCATAATTTATTCCACTCTATTCATATAAACTAATTTTTCCTTCTATTTTTAAAATGCTTGGATAAGGAGTAGCCTTTTAATGAAAAACCCACATGTACATAAATATTTTCCTCAAATGGATTGTATAAAGTAGAGGGATTAAATCATAGGACATGAACTTTTTATTTCCTTTTTTTTGAGTCAGGGTCTCCCTGTGTTGCCCAGAATGGCCTCAAACTGGTTTCATGAGATCTTCCTGCCTTAGTTTCCTGAACGACCAGGACTACAAGTATGTGCTACCATGCTTGGCTATGTAAACATTTTGAAAACTTTTTATTAAAAAACTCATTACCAAACTATTCTCCCCAAAGAATGGATCAATCTTTATACTATTACCAGCAGCATAAGGGAACCCATTTTCCCAAATGTTCATCAATACTAGGTATACTAAATTTTGAAACTTGTTGCCATTCTGTGAGAAAAAAAATGGTTCTATTATTTTAATTTACATTCATTTGATCATTGGAAAGTAAACATTTTCCATATGTTTCTTGTCATTTATATCTATTCTTTTACAAATAGTCTGTGCATGGGCCAGGGATTTAGTTCAGTGGTTCCATTGCCTGCCCCATAAGCGCAAGGACTCGAGTTCGATCCCTGGTACCAAAAAAAAAAAAAAAAAAGTCTGTGCAATTCTTTGTCAATTTTTCACTTGATGTATTTTTTGTTTTGTTTTGCTTTGTTTGGGTACCGGGGATCGAACTCGGGTCCTTGCACTTGCGAGGCAGGTGGCAAAACCATTGAGCTAAATCCCCAGCCTTTGATGTATTTCTTTTCCTTGTTGATTTCTTAAGAGTTTTCTATATGTTATGAATATGAATCCTTTATGCAAAATTCCTTCCCATTCCAAGTAAAACTGTATGAGCTTGTTTTTTTTTTTTTGGATATGCCTAATTTTAAAGTTTCTATTATTTAGATATAAAAATCTGTTTTAAAATGTTTTCTAGCTGGATCCAGTAGGATCACTTGAGCCCATGAGTTTGAGAGGTAAGACTGGGCAATATATTGAGATGCCATCTCAAAAACGAACATAAACAAGATTACACCAGCTGAAGACATCCTGGGAGGAACAAAATCTTCATCTACTCAGTTCCTCATTGTTCTTGGATTGTCACACTTTATTTATCCGATGTACTGAACTCTGTCCTGAGTCATTTGTTACATCTGTTTCTCCTGATGTACTCAATAAAAGGTGCTGTAATCTGGGGGCTTTTGTCTTTGTTGCCCAGAGCAGCACTGATCAGACCCAAAGCTCAGCTTCTTCTCCAAGTCTCATTTTTCTACCTTTCCTGTATGATAAGTTAATTCGCCTTGTGCTGCCGTGACTCGCAGGAGACTAGGACTCACAGCAGAGGTCCTAGTAATGTCCCCTTTCCCTGTTCCCTACACCTTCCTAAGTCTTTTCTTGTTGACTATGTGATACAACCTTCTGCTGGTTTCCCTCTTACCTCTAGAGGGTGACTTTTCAGCCTGTAGGCTCATTCTTCTTTGCCTGCATATCCATTGTGTGTCCCCTGTCCTCACGGCTTTGTCCTTTGCCCATTTCAGAACTGTAAGAGGGAAAGATTGGAAAACAAGGATCCAATAAGAAAGCTGCCACAATATCTCAGAGAGGCTTTGATCTAGGAAAGTGGCAGTGGGAACGGGAGGGGGATAAATGGGAAGATCTGAGAGAAAATAATTTGGAGAAATGTATGAGCAATTATCAATGGGAGTGAGAGACAGATTGCTCTTTCTTAACTACAACTATGTTTCCTTGAAAATAAGACCTAACCACAAAATAATCAGCCTTCAAAACTAGAGATGAAAAATGCCAGCCCCAATCAGCCTATCCTTGTCTTACCTGCCTTACAGAGCAGCCACTGAGCAAGAGAATAATGATATCCAGGAATAGTGGGAAACAACAAATTGGACATGCTTCCAAAAGGATGCAAGAATTTAAAAATCAGACAATCAGTAGGATTGGACCAAGAGTCTATGGACGAAACTATATTGCCTCAACATTCATGTTGAAGCCCTAACCCCATGTGACTGTGGAGATAGGGCCTTTAGGAAAGTAATTAAGGGTGGGGCCCTAATCTGATAAGACTATTCTGCTTAGAAGAGGAAAAGACACAAGAATATGCTTGTATACACACATGTGGACAAACTCTGTGTGAATACAGAGATGAGGCCATGTGAGTATACAGCCAGAAGGTGGTCACCTCTAAGCCAGGAAGAGAGGCTTCACCAGAAACCAACAATGCTGACATCTTGATCTTGGACTTCCAACCTCTCTAGTTATGTAGATACAAACTTCTGTCGCTAAGCCAGCTAGTCTGTGGTATTCTGTGGTAGCCTTACTAGCAATTAAATGAAGTAATTAAAATGTAGCCATATGATCAAGAATGAAAGGGTCTGAAATTATAATAAAAAACCAAATTCAATCCACCCTTTTAGTTTTATTCCCAAGGAAACTATGTTCTAGTTTTGAACTAAAAACTCAAATATCTGGAAGTCTCAGTGAAAAGGTGAACAAGGGAAGCAAGTCAAGGATGATACCTACAGGAGTATTAGTTCAGTGGACTATGGCAAACAGAGTAAATATCCCATATAAAGGGGCAACCCACCATCTCAGCTCCAGCTGATGGACGTCATGAGAAAACATGGGGCTGTGGTCTAGGACTCTGGACTATTTTTAAGAGAAGTCAGAAATCTTCATTTATTTTATGTAAAAACTTTTATATTTTGGCAATTAATAAAATTAAAGGAATATACACAGGGATTCAACCAAGATATCAGTTCTGCCTCTAGCTCAGAGCCCAGGGTTCTGACCTCTATTCTAAGCCACAAGCACTTGCCAGCCTCAGGGACACCATGTACACTTTTGTGCCTTCACTCCTGCTGTCCTCTGGACTTCTGGATCCTTCTTGTTTGCCCCATCTCTGTATGTTTCTAGAGATTTAAATGCTGATACACAGTTTTAGCTTTCCCTGACTATGGAGGACAATCACTGTAGTGATTATCGCCTCCTTTCATCACTCACAGTCTATGAAAAGTCTACCTTGAAAATTCATAGGACATCTATCTGGCTTTTCGCTTGAAGCCAAAATGGAGTGATAGGGACCAGAATTACCTCTCATCTAAAATAACAACAATGAAAAAAAAACTAGATAAAATATATGAAACATTTTTCAAGGTACTGAATTACGAACAATGAAGGAAAATGATTCCTGAGATGGAAAATAAACAAGATGAGCAAGCAGTTGATTGCTTCCAAAATTTAAAGGCAAGGCATGGAATGATAATTCCCTTGGTGACAGCTGAGAGTCTGGGGAGACCAAGGTGGCTAGGGTCTACCAACTGAGCGACAGAGAAGAGTCATGCATGGTGAGAGAATCTGAAAGTTTACAAAGGTTCCCCTTGTCTATTCAGTAGAGCATGAATAGCACTCACACCTGAAGAGATGACCTGAGGGTAGGGATAGTCCCTCTCCCTATGGCAATGAATAGAATCTGTCCAGAGAAAGCCCAGACATTAGACTTACTAAATAACGACTTGAAATCCATGATAATGTTCCAAGAACTAAGGGAAACATGTTTAAACAACTTACAAAGTTTGGAGAAAATGTCGTAAAAAATACAAAATATGAATAAGGAAGAAGTAAGTCAGAATACAAACTCTACCAAAATCTTCCCAGCTCATTCAGGAGGCCAATATTACTCCATTACCAAATCTAGACTAACTAAGATATTACAAGAAAGAAAAATATAGTCCCATATTCTTCAAGAACAAAATGCAAAAAACTGTAGGTAAAATTTTAGCAAATCAAATCCATTAATTTATAAAATACCATTATTAAGTAAAGTTAATCCCAGGAATGCAAGGTTGGTTCACTAGCAGTTGAAAGTCAATGTAATTTGCCATATTAACAAAATAAGAAAGAAAAGTCACATAACAATAGTTGTCCTTCCAAAATTGTGGGGGACTACTTCCAAGACCCTTGCAAATAGCAAAATCCACGAAAGCTCAAATCCCTTATGTAATGACAGTGTCGCATATAACCTATGCACATTCTCCTGTATACTTTAACCTCCAGATTACTTAGAACATCTAACACAATGTGAAAGCTATATAAATAGTAGTATTGTATTGTATAGGGAATAATGGCAAGAAAGAAGTCTGTACACATTCAGTAAAGATGTAATTTTTTCCCTCTCAAATATTTGATCTGTGGTTAGGTGAATCTATGATGTGGAACCAGCGGGTATGAAACCCACAGATACAGAGGGGAAACTGTATTTAAAGATGCAGAAAAAGCATTTCAGAAACATTTAACATCTATTCCTGATTAAAAAAACTCAGCAAACTAGTAAAAAAACTACTTGATGAAAAGAATTTATTAAAAAAAAGTTGTAATAACATCATTCCTAATGGTGAAACTAAATGTTTTTCTATTTCCCATAAGATCAGGAATAAGACAAGAATATCTATTCTCATCATTTTTATACAATATTATACTAGAGGGTACAGCCAGTGCAATAAAGCAAGAAAAAGAAAAGGCACTAGATTGTGAAGGATCAAATAAACTCTTCTATTTGTACACCTGTCTACAGAAAATCTGGTGGAATCTTCTAAAAAGCTACTAAACCTAACAAGTGAGGTTAATAAGGTGGCATGATAAAAGATCAACATACAACAATCAGTAGTAGTTGTATAAATGAGCAATAAACAATTAAAAACTGAAATTGAAAAATAATAGGTTTTCATATGAAATATGTAGGAATAAATAAACCAAATATGTTCAAAGCCTATACACTGAAAATTAGAAAATATTACTGAGAGAAATTAAAGATGGTATAAATAAATGGAACACTACCCCATATTCATGAGTCAGATGACTAGATATTGTTGACATGTCAATTCTTCCCCAAATGACCTATGGATCGGATATTAGCTGGAATTCCAACACACTGCTGGAGAAATTGATAAGCTGATTCAAAAATTTATGTGGAAATATAAAGAATCTTACCTAGCAAAACCAAAAGCAAACTTTACCACAGCAAAACTATGAAAAGAACAAATCATGAGGACCTGACTTGAAGACATATTATAAAATGACAATAATCAAGATAATGTGGTAGGCACATAAAGGTAGGAAACTGGATCAACTATACAGACCCTAGAAACAGACCTGTATATACACTGACTTCAACAAATGTGCAAAGAGGGAAAAGGAGGTGAGCCAATCTCAGTGCCCAGGAGGAGGCTCCCTGCCACCATTCCACCACTTGCTCCTAGGGCACAGGAGGTGAGTAAATTCCAGTGCCCAGGAGGAGGCTCCCCACCACCATTCCACTGCTCCTAGGGCAGAGGAGGTGAGCCATTCCCAGGGCCCAGGAGGAGGCTGCCTGCAGCCATTCCACCACTCCTAGGGCAGAGGAGGTGAGCCAATCCCAGCGCCCAGGAGGAGGCTCCCCACCACCATTCCACCGCTCCTAGGGAAGAGGAGGTGAGGCATTCCCAGCACTCAGGAGGAGTGTCCCTGTCACCATTCCACTGCTCCTAGGGCAGAGGAGGTGAGGCAATCCCAGGGCTCAGGAGGAGGAACCCTGCCGCCATTCCACCACTTGCTCCTAGGGCACAGGAGGTGAGTCAATCCCAGTGCCCAGGAGGAGGCTCCCCACCACCATTCCACTGCTCCTAGGGCAGAGGAAGTGAGCTGTGGGGGCACCAGCAGGACACCCCTTCCACGTGGAAATGAGAAAATACATAAACAAGCCTTAAAAACAGACTTCCAGATCACCTACAGCAACCCCAAAGGGAAACGAGATGGAACAATCTGATGATCAACCACCTGGACTCCCTGAACTGGCAACAAAAGAGGATCTGGAAAAAATAAAATCAGAAATAATTTCTCAAGTAACAGCAAAGATTGTGCTCATGGTGCAAGACATGATTAATAAATCTAGAGAGGACACAGATAAAAAAATAGAGGATCTGAGGAACATGATGGAATCCCAA